CTAATGTGCTGTTTTACCCCTCCACCCTTACCGCACCACTGCGTGCAGAAGATGCATGTGTCCTTGAGCTGTTTTCCCTGTGCTTCAGCAAATGCGACCCAATCAGCCAGCGCTGCCTCCTTATGGGCCCGGACATTTACAACCGCCTGCAAGGTAGGATCATCAGTGGCAGCAGGTTCCGAAGTAGTCTGCGGGACATCGTTGGCAGGACTATCTCGGGCTATCGGGGGACTAATGGGTACAACAACTGCGGGCGGAGTAGTATCCGATTGGCTGGCATGGGTGGTTTCAGGAACGTCAGGAGGAGCGGGTGGGCGGGATTGCAATACCGGACATGCATTTAGTATGTGCCCTTTGAGTCCTCCCCACTTCCGAAAAGCACGCTTGCAATGACGGCATTGGGGCACGCCCCCGAGGCTGTGCTTCCTAGGGTCTATGTTGCGTCCAGCGTCCGTGGTGAGCTGGGTAGTAAAGATCATGGCATGCCTCTGTGTGGCGTGCGCACGCATTGCATGCTGATCGTTAAAGTAAATCCCACATACCGGACAGGGGACACCATCGGTCCTGGTACCGTCTGGCGTTACCTTCGCCAGCGAAGTCTGAGTAAGCTGAATGCACTCTGTAAGATCGTGTAGTTTTTGATGCAACCAAGCTGTGACAGTGTGCCTGCCGGGGTAGAGAAAGGGCTTCTCACAGGACTCCAGGCTGTTGGTGGCCCTAGACTTCAAAGCCTCATGCAGGGTGGGGATCTGGAGACGCTGATACAAGTCCTGCGTACGCTCCAAAGTCATGTGCACCGGTGACCTGGCAAGCCTGCGGACGTGCTTGGCTTCAAATCGCTGCAAAACGCTGAGGCTTTTCGAGGTGGTGCCTACAGAAGTGATACCATACAGGAGCGAGGAGCGCACACACGTCAAAAAGAGTCTCAAGCGCACTCGCAGACTGATACCGTGCTGTGTGAAGAGATGTTTAGCTAATCTAGCAACGTTGGCCTGAGCAGAGCGAACACGATGCTCAGCAGTCTGGTCCTCATACGCACCATAGGAGACAACGGCTCCGAGGTATGTGAGACTGTCGCACAGCGGCAAGAACAATGCAGTGAAGGGCGTTCGGATGATCAAGCATTTCGCGCCTTTGTGCGTGACAGTCCTAGCACGCAGCCACTTCTTCATTGGTACGCCAACAGCTTTGATGTGCAGCTTAGATTTCTCCGGATTTGCAGTCATATTAGCCTCCTCAAGAGTTTCAAAAAGCGCACGTACATGCATGGTCAAGGCGTGCACATCCTGCATGTCATGCAAAATGAACTTGGCAAGAAAATCGTCTGCGAAAAGAATCAAGCTTTCTCTGGCTTCGCGGCCGGCCTTTAATTCGAATCTGTGCATCATGTAGTGCGTAAGGCAAACCCATAGCAATGGGGACAAAGTACATCCTTGTCGGATACCATTACATATGTTAAAGTTGGAGGCCTGTTGCCCATGTTGCACATGATACTTGGCACGGTGTATGGAAAGGATGATGAGTGCAATGGTATCTGGCTCAACGCCAAGAAAGCGTAACGCATCGTTCAGGTACTGATGACCAACTCGATCAAATGCAAGACTGAGGTCCACTGACAGCATCGCAGCTCCCATGATACTAGTTTTACGACCCTTCTTACGATCGCCCACTTCGATGCGTGAAGTCATCAGGTGTGTCCGGGCTTCATGACAGTGTTGAGCTACTAGGGCCAGCGCAGTCTGCGTGCTCCTCCCTGGCAAGTACGCGTATTGCGCAGTGCCCTCAAGCTCTGGCAGGATTTTATCGAGCAAACGGCGTTGAACTATCCTTGCGAGGCACTTACCCAAAGGACATTGCAGCGCAATGGGACGTAAGCTTGAGGGGAGTTTGGCAGGCTTAGAAGGTTTGGGCAGCAAGAACAAGTGACAGTCACGCCATGTAGAGGGCAGCTGAAGTTTACCACGCAGATGCCGATCAAACAATTCTCGAATCCTCGGGAGTAGCTCCGGCATGCAAAGCTTCCAGACTTCCGTGGGGACTGAGCCGGTTGGGACTGCTTTACCGGACGATTGCGCCTGGAAGGAATCCACGATTTCTTCATCACGAATACTCCATGGTGTCTGCAGCGCAAGTGCGTCCGAGGCAGTGCATGTGTCTCTGCAAAACACCTCTTTGAAATACTGAAGGATGGCTTGAAGTTCATCAGCCTCGCTGAGGATGCGGCCATCTGGACTACGAATTTGCACTCTCTCTTTAGGGGATTTGGGGGCAAGACGACGAACCTCTTGAAATAATTTGTACATGTCACCCGCCCTGGCCGCAGCTTCAGCTCTGTGCAGTGAGGTGAGGACAAGCTGCTTGCGACGCTCAAGACCTCTCTTACGCAAAGTTCGCTGACAAACCTGCAAACGAGTGTGGGCCCTAAAAACACGAAAAACCTGTGCAAGTCTGGAGCGTGCACCCACTGCAATGTGTTCACGCCTGATGGCTTTCAGTGCTTGGTGACAGCGCCAAAGCTCTTTGACATCATGTTGGGAATCCGGCTGTTGCCAGGGCCTAGGGTCCTTAACCAGGGGTGTAATCGGGAACAATGCACAGCAGGCTGCATGCATCTCCTCCTGATTCAGCCTCTCAGCCGTAAGTGAGGATTCCGGAACCTGTCGCAAGCGATTGCTAATGTCAAGGTACAGGCTGCAGGCTGTTGCGCAGCGGGGATTCAGGCAGGCGCAACGCGTCACGAAGAGCTGCACAACATCCTTAGGCGCTGGCTTAGGTGCGAAGTGCTGTCGCAGTTTCAAGCTGGCCTGCACGGCAAAGTGTCTGCCCCCGCCTCTCCACGGAGAGAAACAGATGCTGGGCCTGGGGCTTGCGCCACGCGCTCGTGTGTCTGCAGACGCTTGATCTGCCAGTATGAAATCAATCTGCGCACTACGGTTGTGCTCTCCCTCTTGCCTGTAAGTGGGAGCCGCTGCTGATCGAGTCCAAGTATTAAGGGCACACAAATGATGCGTGTCAAGAAGGGTGCCGAAATCTTCGATGTCTGGGTAGCCAGCTGTGTTGTGATGCACATGCTGTCCCACGCAACCTGCACGTGTGCGCAAAATACAATTGAAGTCGCGGGCGATGCATTTGCAATTGCGCTGCGGCAGCGACCGCAAGAGGGCATCCAAGCGCTGCCAAAGGGCCTGGCGCTTGGCGGTACGCTGTTTCTCTGGGTCGGCGTCCCACGCCCACTGGTATACACAGATCAAGTCGAGATGCGAGGACTGTCTGCCACTGCCTATGGGCACCCTTACGTGCAGAAGCCGTCCCGCAATGTGGACTTGGTGACGCACCTGTGAAGACTTTGCCACCCTTGTGGCAATGAGCATAGCAACACCTGCGTAGCGATTATGAGGATCAGGACTGCTCACGAAGGTGTAGCCTGGTATCACCCACTCAGAGAAATTCTTGCCTAAACCGTGATGGGTTTCTTGAAGCATCAGGACATGGTAGTGCTTACCTTCATCAGCAAGCCAGGTCAGGAACGTGTCGTATGTCATGCTATCCATACTACCGAGGTTCAGACTCAAGACTCGAAGTCTGGCACCAGTGGTCTCCTGCGCAGCCTGACGCCGTGTGATGACTGGAGCGTCGCATCCCAAAGTACGAGCATTAACCCAACGACCTCTGTAGCTGGTACGGCCATCAGAAGCCTGCAGTGCACGACGCTGTGCTCTCATGAGTGCTCTTTTGCGAAAACGCGGGCAAGGCTGCTGCCTGTCTGCCCTTCCGCATTGCTTCGCCACTGTTGTGGCACGGCCAACTCCTCGGTCGGCTCGCGGAGTGC